ACCCGGCTGTCGAAGAAGGCCCTCATCTCATAAGGCAACAAGATACGTGTCTACAGCAGATGAAGCGTGAATTGAAAAGGTATGAAGCACTTGACAGCTGTTTCGACCTGGTTGGGTCTCATCAGCAACAGTCCAGTTCTTCCTAGCTTTTTATTTCACGCTTCGTTTGCTATATACCGGACGAAATTGGCGTTTGAAATTTTTTCATGTCCAACAAGAAAATCGATTTTCAAATTTTTGCAAGCACAGTTTCCCCGATCACAACTGTGCCCGCAATCTTTCTCCGCCTATGGTTCTGTTATTCCTGACCATATATTAATGGTCACATGAACTGCAGTGTGCATGTGTGCAGATGCGGTGGATTAATACAGGATACATCGTACGAACCTGTGTTTTTCGCCATTCACATTTTTTTGCTTCAAACGACTAACATGCGAAAGCTGTCGTGTTGTTAATTCCTCGGACGACAATTTGATTATTTCGGTTTTGTTTTTTGCTACTATGACTATTTAAGTAGTCGGCCTATGATTGGAGATTTCCGTCCACTTCACTATGCTGAATATCGAAGGTCAACTGAAGTAATTTCAACGTTGTGCGGTTATTTACTCAAATACCACTCTCTATCTTTCTATTTGTCTGAGTTTATAACTGTGAATTTCCGTTTCATGGGGTTGACAGAATGAAGATGCTATATGTCATTATTTATTGGTACCTTTGAATTCGTCTGTACTAGTCTATTATTACCCACAGCTAATTTTTTCCACACATACCTTGCTAGGGACGAGGGATGCAAATGGGAAGAAATCAACAATTGAAGATGCACATTTCGACAGTCTTATTTTAGTCGAAAATTGACGTCTACGACTTGCAGCATCTCAGTGCATTCAATTCTGGCGTTTGAGAGAGAGAGAGAGGGCCATGCTCAAATCCTTTTAATTATAAATGGGTGGTAGATTACTGGTATACTATCTATCCCGTGTTTATCAAAAAGTTACAGTTGAAAAACAGTATAGAACATTTTTTTGAAATTCGGAACAGCGTTCATGGAAATGCGTTCAATAGTTCCGGTATAAGAAAATAATTACCCATCATCCATACCTATTGTATTGTATTGTATTGTTATAAGTCGTGCAGGTATGAAGCCCACATTTCAGTTAAAAATATACAAGTTGATTCGAGACGGGAAAATGATGATAACATTAATGTAGGAGATTTAAATCCCAAAACTGTTAACAAAGTCAGTGAAAACCGTGCTTTGTTAACCAGAATACATGCTAATGAGGTTACTATAGAGTTACGATATATGTTTATTCGAGAGGGAACAACGATGTTGGAATCTAGTGGAAGGATGGGAACAACCGGAAGTTAGATCTGCCTGTAGCCAGTGGGAGGAGTTGATGAGAATCTTTTGTGGATACTTCGATAACTGCAATTTCATGCAAGATCACCTGATCTGTCCTCCTTGGATTTCATTCCGTTTAGATATCTGAAGCGATTAGTGTATTCTCGAAACCGGAGAACGGTTCCGCTGCTTAAGCAGAATACTGTGGCGCAAAGCGAATGTATGCCAACTGTGGAAGAAACTAGTTCCTTCCGATTTGGCTTTGCACGCAGCAGAATGGAAAACTTATGGAGTAACTATTGTAATGAGTTTAATTTTTTCCGTAATATTTTTTCTTTCGGAATTAGATCTCCCACATAGTCTGATCATCTAAGTCGAAAACAACCAGTTGGCAGAAAGGGAGTTTTGCGACGGCCTACGTTAGTGGATATTGTTGTCCGTTATATACACAAGTTCAAAATGTTATTATGATTATCTGTTTACCGAACTGTGACTTCGAAATATAGTGCGTGTATCTTAGACGAGTCAAGTGGTGGCCAAATGTCATAATGTCTTGAGCATTTTCCATTCCAAATTTCCCACATGGCGTACCGCTCCACAACTGATTCTCTTGTGGCGATTCTCTACCAACACTTAGGCAGCATCGGATTCGGAACCTATCCTCCTCCTGTGTCGGCCCGAAAATCACACGACTGACCGGGTTCATTTATCGATCGGTTGAATGGTTTAGCTGCAACAAAGGACCTAGTGCTTGCCCAGCTAACTCAAGCGAGTAACCACACCTTACCTACGGCTGTGAGTCTCAAGCAGGCCCAATGAAATTGGACTGCAGAGCAGGAGTACCATGAGCACACTGATTGACTGGACGTAATAAAAAGAGCATTAAAAAACGTACAAGCCGGTAATCAGACGGTCCCATGTTGGAGTAAGGGATTTTAACGGCCGCAGATCGCGGAATATGATCCAATCAGATCACAGAAAGGGTCAGAGGGAATTTGCTTGTGTTAAGGTCACGAAAGAGAGGGAAGATACGATGGTGAACGATGGAGCAATCGCACTATAATATACGACCGCTGGATTGCCACGTTGTGCGACAAGTGGTCTATGCCAACTCTCAGCTGAGCCGCCCTAACGTGCCACAGTTTCTCCTGGCCGTCGGCCGCAGTTTTTAATCTGGAGATGAGGGCGTCCTTTTCAGCAGCCAACACCATCTCTTCCAAAACAAGCAAATCTCTTCAGTCCGATACTAACCTTGTTTAATTTATCACAATCGATGCCATCGCCAGGATGAAGGTTTAATGGTCTAGGGCCCTTACTGAAAATGCTCGGATAAAATGATTATCTTTTTGTCATTTCTTGCAATTAGTGCATACTGGGCAAAAACCTCTGTCGATCTTATCGATTGCACATTATACTCTGTTCACTCACAGTGTAGCCAATACTCTCAGTAAACTTTCAACACGGAGCATTACATTTTGCGTCTCAGGTTCGGGATCCTCAGTTGGTACGACGGATTCACACTGTAAATGAGATCCAACCAGGCAGTTGGTGAATCATTCTGGATTTCCAGCTGACACTGCATTAATTCTGCACACAGCGGAATTCACCGTATGATGAAATTCATTTGTTTACTACAGTTGGTAAACTAGAATGTCAGCGCATTTCGTACTTCCCACGAGTACTATAAACCAAACCCATTATTCATAGAACAATTGGTCATTCTTGGTTCGATATACTGGAGAATGTTCAAACAATCACTGTTCTTTCCCATGCAACAAAGAAAATACACATTCACTAGCTCTGAAAAGTTCGAAAAGCTTTTAATATTACTTTACTACTTAAATGTTATTTCAGTAGATGAAATGGAAATTCGGATACTTTGACGTTGAGTTACTTTTTCGTACGAAGCAGTCAATTGGACCAGGTCAAGAAATCCGTGGTTGGGATTCACACAAAATGTGGTCTTCGTGGATGTAGGTGAAAATAACATAACGCCATTGTGAAATTTGGTGGACAACGAGTTTGGTTATAAGGTTTTCAATTATTTTGTACTTTAATTTCGTACGTGCGGTTTAAAATCCGATCGGAGACACATGAACAACTTCACTATTTTTAAAGTAGCGGGACTAGCACATTCCTCCCACTATCTTTGAAAGCAACGTACCTAGATTCGAAGTACTTCAACCTGAGTGAAAATTCCATTGATGTTAGTTCTTTTTGCATAAATGGTCGAGATCGGGATCATGGCTATCCCCAACTAGACATTTTACAGTCTCTTCTCTCACTGCGATACTCACACAAATTTGACTCATTTAGTAGGACTATCAGTTCGAAAAGCTCCCAGAATTGTGGTAGCATGCAGAGAAGATTTATCACAGGAAGCTGGGTGACCGATAGAGAATATGCACGCGACATGGTCATCAACTCAATCGCTGTTATCAGAGGCATAATTGTGGTGCATACAGTGAAGCAGGCTTCGGTGCTCACTGCTAAACACGTGTACGAATTTGATAGAAACAGGGGTGGGCCAGCTTGAAACACAATCAATCTGGTTAACATATGGTAGGCAGACTCGCCCTGCATATAAGGACCATGGAAAATTGTCACGTGGAAACAAATGACATCAATCACGTCAATTTAATCGATTAGCAGACATACCCTTGAGTGCCTACGATAACCGGCAACATGGAAGCCATTACAGAACGTTATCGACGTTTGTGAAGTTCATTCATTGAACTCCATCACCTGTCCTATTCTGAAGTACAAACAATTTGAACATGGAGCTAGACAACTCAGTCGCCTGCGAAAGATGCATCAAACCCAACGAAATTCACTTGAGCAAACCAGTCCCGTCGAGATTGTTCCGCAGGCACGGATTAACAAACAACCAAGGATTTTGCGCATGTTTGGTTGTTTCTTCAGAGTGCTGATGCGAAGCAACACAGGAACACTCCTGGCTGATCAGTCGAACCAGCTTCATCCAGAAGTTATTATCTCCAAGAAAGACTTGGGTCACTTTAGTGGACAACGCTAGTGGTCACGGATACCAAGAGGACAAGTGAAACCCCACCTAGTTAGGTAGGATACTATTTTGTCATCATAACCCATAAAGATGCCAACTCAGATCAGTTCGTAAACCTTAATGTACAGGAGATGAAATTAAGACCTCAACTCTTCGATAACGCCTTTAAGAACAGTTTCTTCATAATGGTAAACGTAGTGGGTGCAACAACCTGGCGGTTTTTGACCCTTGCTTGGGCGCGTCGGCAGTGCGTATTTTGCATGGAGCTGAGGCACAGAACGGAATGTTGGAAGAAGCGATCCTACAATGTTGTAGAATTAGCAATGGGAGGTGCACTACCTCCAGCGGTTCATGGGAAACCAATGATTGTTAATGCATGTGAATGAAGAACTTTGAGACTCGAGTGACAATAAAGTCGGACTGATTGAAAGCAATTGTGACTGGGCATAATAGTAGGAACAACCGATTATTATCCGCTCACAGTTTAGTTTGATCGATGTAGTATACAATCTAATTATCCATTTTATTATACAACAGTGTTGGGTGCTAGTAAAAGGTGTAAACCCTGATTCCGATGACAGTAAACAATGACTAATCATGCGCATCATCACATTCAGTTTCAAATCCACAGCAGAAATGACATCAAAGACATCGAAATATCCGCAAAATCAAACTCGCCCAAAACCGGCCAGACAATTGCAGGACAATAAAAACGCCGGGAATGTTAGCGGACTGTCATTGAGACTTGGCCGATTGCATTGTGGTTAGCTGAACACCATTTTTTCAATATTTGCTTGTTTATTGAGTTATTAGTAGGTGCAACTGAGTCGTACGCGAAAATAGATTGGATTGCATTGACCATCAACTGAAGAGTAAAGAGCAGTGCGAGCAAAAGTGAAATGAAAATATTGGGGAAGGCGTTTTTTAAATGAGTGCTGCTTGTGAAAAATCATCCCCCGCCGCCTGACAGGCCGTCCACACCAATCGGGAGCAGCAATAGCTAAGGAAACAAGTCTTAGCACCACCAGCGGTACGCACAATCTGAAGGACAATGGAAATAACTGCCACCGCACGTTTCAGATATCGAAGAACTTAAGCAGACACGAGCAACGGTTGGATCCCTCAAAAGAGACCACTAAAGAATACGGCAAAAACGGAAATCAGTTTGTAGCAAAGCACATAAGAAACGTATATAAATGTCACATGATAAGACAGGGCAGTAGGAAGAAACGTTTGGAGCTGAGACGATGCGGTGAAGATGCTGATGATGACAGGGATGATGATGATGATGATGATGATGATGATGATGATGATGATGATGATGATGATGATGATGATGATGATGATGATGANTGATGATGATGATGATAATAATGATGATGATAGGGATGCTGATGTGGAGGTTCAATCGTCCGTATGTTCAGTGGAAAAAACAGGAACGTAATTCAAGGTCATGAGCACCAGAATGCCCGTTTGGAGGGTGAAATAAAGGATGATGTTTGCACATGTGAGAGACTTGGAAAAGATGAATCAAGTGGAAATCTGGTGAGGGGATAGCTGCGAACTGCATGTACAAACATGTAATTGGTCAATGGTTTTCATTCTGTTTGGGAAAAGATTTATATACATGGGAATGGGTTCATGAGGATGTGTATTACACTACATGAATTGATGATACCGCTGGGAAACAAAGAACAAAGTGGCGAATTGGGGGAGGCACCATTGCACAGCATCCAGCTAGAGCGGTGATCTGGAAAAGTAATAGAAATCAGAGTACTATGCAGTAACAATATCAGAACAAATGTAAGCAGTAACAATGATAACGAAAATTTGGGTTCTACTCTGGGAATTTTAGCGACTAGTTTTGAACGAAATCTGATACCATTCAATAGCAAAAAATTGATATTTATGTATTGATTACGAGTTTTAGCTTTCTATATTGAGTAGACAACCAAACAGTTTGTTTGAGATGGAGTTGTGGCCAATAAAAGTCTGCTGAGGAACTGATGGAACTTAGTCGGTAGAGATAGCGCTTCAATATGCCATCTGCAGAATCATGTATCCATGACCCAACACCTGACTATGATCGTGTATAAAAGTTGTTTGGGGAATTTAGTAGAAATTTTCGTTTGTGATAGAATTTAATGCAGTTTAGACCATCACTGACCAGAATTTTACACATTTATCATTTCTAGCAATTGCTATGGTGCACAACTTGGCAAACTGGCGACTAGCGAAGTCCACGGGCATTATACGGTTACTTTACTTTACTTCACTTTACTGTGACGGGCTCCTTGGAAAGGATAAGTCGGCTTCAGACATGATCATCATCTTGAAGTTCCTTGGGAGTTTGGTACGAGAGACGGCCCCAGCGTCACTCGGCGTCTTTCATTTTGAGAGTGCACCTCTAGGCTTTGCACAACCAATTGCGAACTGCAAGGCAACAGGAAGTAATCCCTCACCTCGGAAGTGACGGGGTCAATTACTTTCGTCTTAAAAGGCTAGTCACATCGACCTTTGTCAAGACACCGTTATTGGGCTTATGCGGTTTTTAAATAGGGACCAGGTAACCAGCTTGAAAGTCACCACATCCTGGTTGTGCCGCCGCTGTTTGTTCGCGACTGCTTATTTGTTGTGGTAGGTTACTAAGTCACTGATACTGTAGTCACCAGAAGTTTTGCAGCGTCAAGGAAACTCAATCTTTACCATTTATCCCGATAAATGTAGTCAGGATAGCCCGCTATCCCATGGCAAACTGAAAAGTGCATCGAATAACTTCAAGGATGCGAGAACTAAATTTAACTCGAGTAATGGTATGCTATGAAATTGCAGTGTGCAGTCCAAAGATTCGCTTTGAGTCAAATACAAACGTGGGTATTTAGCGTAGTAAATCACTGTGCGTTCAATTTCGGTGGAGAATATAATCTGCAGAATCGCGACTTGTTCATAACTGAAGATGATGGTTTTTAACACATCCAAAATCCCGTGATGTTGATTTGAAAGACAATAACCCTTCACTTTCACGCACCAGTTCTTATGTTACGTGTAAGCTACTCGTCTGGTGAACTACTGAAAAAGTTAATAGGAAACGCCAACGTATGAGATAACCGAGATATGGACATATAATGCAGGCTAAATGTGTGTAAATTCGACAGATGCACGAGTCTAAATGTTGCAATAGTCCATCCAGAAAAAAGACTAACTATTAATTAGATGTAGAAAACGGTGTTCGCGAAATTTCTTTTTCGATATATTGCATCAGGCGCTTACATATAAGGTGATCATAGTACAGATATCTGACTGGCCGGTTAAAACTCAGTTAAGAACGCCGACAGAGGTAAACAGGTGGAGCAAACAGCTTTGACAAAGCTAGTGATAGTCGTAGTGGAGGGGATGAGAGGACAAAGGTCAAATGGAAAACGTTAGAGAGATGAGCAGCTTAAAATGAAGGTTGTGAGCTAAGACGAGAGAGCAGAGGTGAATTTACCTAAGTTACAGTAGAAACTATATGTCATGTATAGCAAATGATGTAATCAGGGAGGGACACTGGAGACAAAAATGAAATAACTAATCATAAATAATTAGATAAACCACGAGGTACGCAACCGATAAGATTAACACGACCTACATATCCAAGTCCATCGGTAAGGGTTTTCGCAACTCAACATGTTTCATTTTCAGTTTGTACAACTATTAACCATGCACCTTCGTGCGGCGATTTTGGTTGCTGTCTTTTGACTGCCCAGTCCATTATGACGAGACTGCATCTTGACGTGGTGTGACGGCTTGCGTGCCTCCATGATCCTACGAGCAACACAGGATGGCTTTCTACAGCCGTAGTTCCAATCATGCCTGAAAGGTCAGACGAAACTCAGCCTCACAAAGCCAGTTTCCTGGGCACCTCCTGGCTTCCTTCTTCTATCCACATCCACCCCTGGAGAGGTCACTCCAGCAAATAAACACGGTGAGGGGTAGTGTACCGGTCAAAAAAAACCCGCTAGATAGACGTAGGAGCGGGGTACCTGGGGCTTCCTATCGACGGTGGAAGAAGTCTTCGTACTTCATTGGACAGCTACCGTCCGCCCAGGCTGAGCAGCCCCCAGCCAATAAGGTGCTGTCCCGTACACGTTCCGCTTGTCTCATTGGGTGCATGAGGCTAAGGGCCGATCCCCAAAAGCGGACCGACAATCAACGCACCAGCGAACACAATTAGTTGAAATTCAAAGGCCTTGCGTGACAGGTCTCAAGAAGCTCCCACACGAGTGCTTCGTTCATGCTCCCGAGTTGGATTTCCGCCCCCCTACCTTGTGGGTCAGACTCTTGAGTCAAAAACTTCGGTTAGGGTTCCCAAAGAAAAACCCGTTTGTCGGTGTGGGCCACCGCGAAGTATGCCGTACCATAAAGTTATAGGCACCCATTTGGAAAACCATCTTTTTCATCTGTCTAGTTTTTCTTCTCAATCCCAAATAATTCCAAGTACCTCCTGTTTACGAGACCCATCAGATATCACTCAGTGTTCTGACTAATAAGGTTCTCCTGCTTAGTGGCTGGACACCCTAGCAATTCCCGTCCATCAAACCCGAATGCATACACAACTTACAAATAATTCCATACTGCATTGATCGTCGCGCAGGATAATCAGGACCGCGCTGCCCATTGCATCGAGCGGGGGGGGGGAGGTAGTAAAAATTGGGCTACTGCTCAGATATCCCAACCTTTGTTCACCACAAAATAGATTGCAGATTCTGAAGCCTCGTCAAACACTGAATCTGGGGGTCTTCAACTTGAGGACCCTGATGCAGCTAGATCAACAAGCTCATCTGGTGCGCACAATGGAGTCGTTATGAATCGATATTTGATACGTGTCGGAAACTCGAATCCAGGATCCTACTTCTATAAGCCACTTGAGCGCGCCAGATTTGCCTTCGAGATACGTTCTTCGCACATCAGGCGACGGTGAAGCCCGTTCAGTTGGTCAGCGCGAGGTAGTTATTGTACTCAGTAACAGGGCTGAGTCCTCTCTTATAGGTTGGATCCCCGTCTATAGTCGTTTATGTGCAGTGCGCCTCCGGGGTTCAATCAGCGTCCGGAACGGAAGCAACACCAAAAGGTGTTTGTTCATCGTTACAGCATATTCACCGACCAATTGCAGTTCTGATACCCAAAGGGAAGCTTTCTACGAGGAACTCACAGATTTCATTCGGATGAGTCGAAGCTCCGACATAGTTGTACTTGCAGGTGATTTTAAGGCGCAGGTTGGAAAACTGAGCGCATCAGAAGCGGTAGCTGTGCTTTGCCCTGCCAACGAACAGATAACGGCGATCGACTTCCTCAGTTCTGCGCAGACCATCATCTGTTTCTATCAAGCACCAACTTCCGACACAGCTCTTGACGGACGGCTACGGGGCGCTCTAGTTCAACTGGTAGGCTAACTCAAATCGACAACATCGCAGTAAGTTACCGTTGGCGTGGCTCAGTGTAAAATTGCAGATCCTATTGGATCACCTGCGCCGAATCTGACCACGCACTAGTTCTGATGCAGTTCACTCCCCGAAAGACTGGTAAGCGACAAAGCCAGCAATCTCGGATAGCTCACCAACGACTATCTGTTCCAGCAGTTCATACACTCTATGAGTCAGAGCTAGTGCGTAAGCTAAGTGCGCTTCAGCATGGTGATGTAGACGAGCAGTGGGATCAGATTAGGCGAGTAATGCGTTCCGCAGCGAATGTTGCTTGTGGGTCTGAGCCTCAAAAGCCGTTGGAGGCATTGGATATCTCAGAAGTCAGTAGCCCTGATGGGAAAAAACAACAAATCCCGACCCGCCAGGATGAAAACAGAGTTAGGTGAGATCTATAATTTCAGCTCACGAAGAACCTGAAGAAGGACCGTGAGAACTGGTGGGCAACAATAGCCAGTGAAATAAAAGTAGCAGCTGCATCAGGGAATATTCAAAGACTGTTCCCACTGATACGCAATACGGGAGGTCGGCGAACCCCAGTTAGTGAAACAGTCTGTGATAAGATGGGACAAGCTATTCACAATAGGGAGCAACGAGTTGATCGCTGGACAGAATACTTCAGCGAACAGTTCAACTGGCCTACCGTTAACCAGGTTGCCTCATCCGCAGCTGAAGCTCCGTGAGCAGTGTCATGCGATCCTCCAACGGAAGCAGAAGTTCAGTCTTGCATTCAAGCTCCCGCCCACTCTTTTCAGGATGGGCGGTGATAACCTCGTAAGCTTTATTACTCTCTTACTGTGCAACATTTGGACGCAAGAACGCATTCCCTCATCTTGGGGTGAATCACCGATCGTTCCCATTTTCAAGAAAGGATCTCGCAACGATTGCGCAAACCAC